GTCTCGGGGTTTCAACCTGTTGACGAGTTGTCTGTGCCGGCGCACATTGAGATACACTGGAAAATAAGCAATATTTTCAAAGATTTTAGAGGGTTTTTAATGGGAATTCAGGCTGTATAGAGTTTTTTTAATCTATAAAATTAAAACAGAAAATAATTACTATTCTATGAAGGAATTAAGAGCCAAAACATACTACTTATATCTAGTAACAAAATGTATCTACATTTATTTACTGTGTATAAAGATACCCAGATATTCAGCCTGTGTATGTATCTTCAGTGAATTTTTGGCCTGTCTTGTGTTGGAAACTATTTTAATTTAGTGGCAAATTTGCATAGTCTGAATATTTTATAAATTTGTTCGTCTATTTGTCGAGTTTAATTCGGATTCGTTGGCCATAAACATTTATAATTTCGCTCTTTCACTCTGGTCACAAAAGATGAAAGCAAGAGTGACATTTAAAGCGGTCCAGGCCATGGATTTTTTATGGTATTTAGGAGCCTTTTGTGTCCACCCTTTGTTTGGATTTATATTCCAGAGAGACCTTATGCAACACATCCGATAATTGAAGAATGGAGATCATGGATATAGTATGTGTGTAATATTGTGGTTTTCTGGCTGATTTCGGAATGCCATTCAGTTGATTGGGATATTTCTTGGCCTTTTTTCGTTTGTGCCGCAGGAATTGTTACTGAACTGCGGTCACAATTCGAGTCTTTTCTTGGATTTATGAAGCTTGTATTGTGGATTGTTTTATGATGAAAAATAGCCGCAATCAATGAGCTTCAACCAAAAAAAAAAAAAATAGCCTGGGAACTTTAGAGGAAATGTGTATAGTTTTTGACTTAATGATGGATGAAGTAATTTTTAAAATAACGTAATGGTCATAAGTTGTGGGAATGTATTAAAACCTATAGAAGAAATGCAGATTAGCATAAATTTCCTTTCATTAAATTTAAAAAGAAGCACTCAATGTATTCAAGGTTGCCTTAAACTTTTATTTATATTAATGCCTACAGTTCGATTCTGTAAAACTTACAAAATCGTTGTTCCGCTTGATTATTAGGTAACCACTCCAAAAACTAACGCCCCTAATTAAGTTAATTACCAACTATCTATCATTTCCTGATTCATTTTTCATCCGCGCTTATTAATTATTAATTAATTAATTAACAATTTGAATGAGGAGACGCGGCATGCACTTAATTGTTACCAAAAACAAAACCCAAAAGGAGGAAAACTCATCAACAGCTTATTGCCCGCATTTGATTGATATATATTTTAGCTATATCTTAAAGATGTTGTAAAGCAAATTAGCAGCAAATTCCAGTCTCCCAAAAAAATGCTGTAAATTATTAGTTAGAAACCAAAAAATGAAAAGGCAAAGCGCACAACCAAAAAAGAGCCGACGATTTTTACATTTTGACGCCTCAACGGAATCGCTTAAGATTTCAGCTTTTGCTTCATTAATTTTGCGAAAAGGGTAAACCCTGATAAAAGCTAAAGAAATCTGCATAGATATCGTGTTTTTTTCTCCCTAGATTATTTATCAATTTCTATAACACATTTATAGTATACTATACTACAAAAAAAATACAAGAAAAATGTGCAAACATCGTAGAGAGCAGCTCTGTCTGGGGCTGCCGTTGACTTGCACATGACTTTCATGACATTAGAAAGTAAATTGCCATGAGGCCACTTGGTCAACCATCAAAGCCATGCACTCCAGCACCACCACAAATAACACAACAAAATACAACAAAAAGAAACATAAATAATAATAAAAAACACCTAGCACCACAGCAACATTTATTAAACTTTATTATTATATACTGGTTGGTTTCCATTGAACCTGATGAAATGCAAGCGGAGGAGGACTGCGATGATGAGATTTCTGAGGTTGTGGAAGCCAAACAATTGAAAGTCAGCCAGGCAAAGTGCTTTGGCTTTGGCTTTATTATTATTAATTGGATTCGATGGTAGGAAAGTCCATTGTCTGACCCTGAACCTCCTTTTTCTTTTTTATTTTTTCACAATTTCCCAATCGGAAATGCAATTTTCCTTAGCTGAAATTCAACTTCTCTGAATTGAAACTGTCCATGCTTTAGAGCCTGCTTGCCGGTTGCCAATCTAATCTTATCGAAATGGGTTCGTTAATTTCTGTTTTCACTGCGAGCAAAGTGCACAGCACTTGAATATATATATATATGTAGATATACATATATATATTTTTATAGGAAAGTAGAATCCCATTCTATTTGGTGTGAAAGTTGGATCACCAATTAAGCGACTCAAAACTTGACGCATGATGATTCATTCACAGATAACGCAAAGTGATTTTATTCTCTTTGGTTTTATTGATTGTTCAAGAAACATGTGAGGTGTGGACAAAATAATCGAAATTGGACACAAATTTTTACAATAATCTTGATGTGGCAACACAATTATTGGGAACTTTGCTTAATTTCCTGTTTTAACAAAGAGAGAGCATTCATTAAATGTTGATGAACTTATGGGAAAATTGAAGGAATTACTAATAGTTTCTGTTCAATAATTTTATTCAGTGTGTTATTTGATTATTTATATATTGCATAATATGTTTGATTTAATTTTCCTTGACCTTTCCCCTAGTATAATCCATCTTAATACAGCAACTTTGCATTGGTAATCACTCGAGATTAGTGTTGACCTGTGATCGTTTGGCGAAATTGTTAATTTCAGCAGTTCCAAATTCAAATTATTCACAGCTGCCGGCTTAAATCAATCGAATCGTGAGCTGGATCCTCTGTGAATTTCAAATTGTAACGTTCGCCAACTTATTCAATGGCGATCAATCAGTTTGCACATGTTGGTCCCAGACCCCAAAGAAAAAAAACGTTACGGCCTGTCCAGATAAATCAAGCATTAATAAAACCCAAATTTGTGCAAATTTTCGACAGCAAAAGAAGCTGCCTTTTTGCCATCCATTTGAAATTCTTTGCTAAATGTCAATTAATTATTAACTGGAACCGTCTGCCTGCCTCAGAACATGAAATTTATTATTTAATTATTGAGTCGGGGCATGTCTCTGCCTAAAACTCCTCTTCGGAATCTCCTTGCCTTTGTGCCTCTGCTTGCCTCATTTCCTGCGAAAGTGATGGACAGCCCAGCCACATTATAATGATATCATGCTGAGCATTCGAGCTCATCTCATATTTTCATATGAGCTCTGGCTTTTTGCCCCTTTTTTTGTACTATTTTTTTGGTTTATTTCCGAAAAAAAGCTGTGTTCTGGTTGCCTGACCCGCAAACTCCACTAACCTGCGGTTAGGTCAAGAGTTTAATGCGGAACCAACACAATGCTCGGACCGTAATTCATGGGATATGTGGCAGTATGATTCACCGCGCTTTGAAATTGTATAATTTTTTAGACTTAGGTAGAAAAAGAACAGGTGGGGTAGCGTTAATTAAAATAGTGAAAAAGGAACAACAAAATATATGTATATAAACTTGGGTTTTGTACAAGATGTATAAATAGATAAATATTACCCAACACATCATGGTTTAGTGGAAAATTTATAGTGCTTTAAGTGAAGAGCTTATGAGGTAACTATAAAAGTAAACAAAAAGATTTGACACTGATTCTGCAGGTAATAAACTTTGCTATTCAATTGAGAAAATCTTGTTTAAAAGTTATGCTCCTAAAAGGGTAATTAATAAGGCATATTGAGCTACAATTTAAAAGTATATATTTTAAACGTGCCCTTAATCTCTGTACATAAATGTGTAATTGTTTTTCAAGTATATACCTTTTACCTTATACCTTAAACTTTGTTCATTATCTACCTTTGGCCTTATTAATTCTTATTTCTTATTAATCTTCTCTTATTGGTTAAATAAGCAAATTTAGAATTAATCCTCTTATTGGTTAAATAAGCAATAATAATATAATATAATAATGCAGTTAGAACAACTTAGTTTAAATGAGCTTTGGTTCGACAGGTAATATATGTTAGGATGTGATTAATCCGGCTTTCTTCTACTTTGATGATTTATTTTATATTTATTAGAGGATCCAAGTATTTGCTTTCCAATTAACATTAGCATATTGTGTTTTTATTATCTCCAGTTAAATCAAGTTGATTGCAATCACAAGCTCTCCACCTTACTGAGGTATTTATTGGTTTGTATTTAAAGTTGGTGCAAATTTTTGGGTGTAGCAACCGTCGGTCAGTCAGTCAGTCACGCTTAATAAATTGCAAAGTGGAATTGCTGGGCCATGATATTAGCAGACCAGGCCCAGACCCCCTTCCCTCTCCCTGCACCATTGGTCGCAGTTTGTAATCAAAAGCCGGCCGGTCAGCAAATCAAACTGAAAAATCCAACCGAAACCAAAAACCGGGCACCTTGACGATGCCAGCGGCTGAGTCAACTATTTTTTCATTTTTTTTTTTATTTAGTTGAAAATTGCATTTAATTGTTTAACAAAATGCCAAGCGCGTTATGGATACTCCGCACCAGGTTGTGGTGTGTCGGTTTATAGAGATATAAGTTATAATACAATTGCTCGAGTTATTCATTGACAATTTTCCGCTGAACAGTTGTTGGTCATGTGCGGACCGCTCACCCCTTACTTCATCGGTCCGTCTGCACAACAAGTTTATGATTGCTGAACCCGTTTCCAAGTTTTGCTGTTTGTTATTTCTGTTACAATTTCTGCTCTTTTTTTCTATCCAGCCAGACTTTGGGTTTGGCCATCAAGTGCGGAAGTTGCAGAGCCAAGAAAAAATAGATATATAGAGAGACTCGAGAAATGTTTGCATATTTTAAAATGCAATTGGAAAGGTGAACAATTTCTGGTGTTGTGTTGTTGTTTGTCTTTCTGCTTAATTGCAATTGACTCGTTTATGGTTGTTCCAATGATTTCCCACTAACTGTAACCGAATTTATTTATTATATTTACAGACTTTTATTAATATACAATCATTAATTGTTATCGTTTGCTTTTATTTATTCAACAGCCTTCGACAATAACAATCATCATCATCATCACCATAATCATCATACGCCGCTAGTGGTTTCGCATAGAAAGGTAAGTTTTTATGAGAAAATTAACAAGGAAATGAATATTATATAGAAATAATACTAAATCTGATTTATTTACTTTGAATACTTCATCCAAAACAATTTCGAACATATCTAGTGACAGGTTGTTATATTATTTGTTTTGTTACTATATTGAGGTTTTGTCTTTAGAGCTATTTTAAAAAGTAATACCTGGCCTTTATGGCTCGTAAAGCGTTTGAAAACTCTTTCACGTGTCTCGATACTTAAGCCCACAGATTACAGATTAGAATTATGGGCCGTAAAGTTCACTCAAATGAGTTCATTGCGGCTCAGTCAGTGTCCGTGGTCATGTTTTCTGTCTTGTTACGGTTCCGGCTTGGAGTTTAATTAAGCTTTAATGATTTATGATAAAAGAAATGGGTTCTTACACCCGTGGGATAGAAGTTGAGACTATCAACCAGCGGAAGAGTTGAAACGAGAACGGATAAATATCGAGAGAGTCGTTAAACTCTTTGAGTGTTGCATCAAACTTTAATTGCAACCAATTCAAGTTTAGCTCTCAATCAAGCTTGTAATGGTTTGGTTTTTATTTAAAGGCTTGGTAAATTAATGAAAAAGAAAGGCTCTCTTTTAGTAGTTATTAAATATTTTATTATGAACTTTACCTACATTTAATAGTTACCTTAATAGTCCTGATTATGTGCTTAATAATTGGGTGTATCTTTTCTCTCTACCAAAAACTCTTCTCCCTAAAACTTCTCCCTTTTAAATTCATTCAACCCAGGACACAATCCCTCCCATACACACCTTTCTCATAGCTTTGGGCTGACATCAAATTGAACAGGTAATAAAACAAAATGAGCTACAACAGGTGAGACAAGCAGCTCCCTAGCATAATGTGTGAAAGTGTCTGCGATTTTTATGGCAATTTCAGCAGATGTTCAACACATCTCACCTGTCCCCCACTCCACCAGATGCGAAAGTGTTTTCCTCAAAAAAGCCCACGAAGAATGCACTTTAGGGTTTCTTTCGCCTCGCTGGGTTCGGTTCCCAGCAGATAGAAAAAGACTGAAAAAGGTGGAAAACTGAAAAACTTTAAGAGCCGAGCGCTGCAAAAGCAGCTAAGGAAATGCGCAGGCGCATCGGTGGAGAATTCACAAGCTGATCGTTAGTAACCCTGTTTTTGGGGGCAGGCATGAATTACCTGGCAAAGGTAATTAAAACAACCAGCAACTGCACCTACAAGACACTGAAAAAAATTAGGATTAACTAGATATTTCCTATAAATCAAATGTAATAGTTAAAACACTACTTTGCTTGAAATTAAGCTTAATACACGCTTTAAAACAAGGCATTTAAGACTTGATTTTGAGGCCTTAAAAGCAATTTTATCTTACCCTATTTTAAGCAACATCTTTAATAAAAATTTCATATATATAAGCAATATTTCTTTCAGTGGCTTAACCACTAGAGGGCCTACTGCATTTAGGCCCAAGAAGATCGTAACATGGAAGCGCCAAGTTTCTCCACGCCTGAAAATTTTTTAATGTATCTTTTAGTTTGCCTCGTCTGAGATGCAAGTTGTTGGTGTTAGATGCCGTTTTCAATTAAGCACTGTTTCTGTAATGGGTGTGTGTGTGTTGGAGTGTGTAAATTGTGTGTGTGTGCCTTTGTGTGTGAGAAATATGCATGTTTCACCGCTCAATGGAGGTCGCTCCTTTAGATATTCTTCTCCATCGTAGAGCGCACAAGGCAATTCCATTGTCTTCATGAGTTCATGTGAAATTTTTGAATGCATTCTTATTGCCACTGAGGGGTTACCTTAATATTCTTATAATTTACGGTCATGGAGGGCCTTATTAAAGTTGGCAAGCATACATTCTTTGGTAAACATGAATGAGTAGGTGGTAGTCACGGGAAATTCCAACAAGAACAGGTCATTGTTTTTGTTTAAGAAAATTGTATTTTCCGTAGTTTCTGTTGAAGTAAATTTATAAAAGCTTCTGGGTAGAAGAAACTCAGTCGAAAGTCTTAAGTAGTCTTAAATTTATTTAAGATATCGATTAATTATCGACATTCCCGTCAATATATCGAAACATAGTAATATTTTCCACTATTTGCAAGACGAAGGCTTTTTTTTTTTTTGTTTATGTTTTTAAGTGCACCCATTGAAGGAAGTATTTGCAAAGATTCCTCGTGACATCCAAAAACTGTGACTTATAAATATTTACCAATTAACTCGGTGGCCCCTCTCCAATTGCGATCCACTAAATCATGGGGCCCGTCGCCCAAAACGAACTGAAATTGGACATTATTATACAACAATTGTAAAAATTACCCAAAGGGGGTAGATTTTCGCTGGTTAAGGTCAGTCCTCCGCCCCCACGACTGGGCGTCAAAAGTGCGACTGCAATGCGCAAAAATGTACATTTGTTTTGTTTAAAAATGGAACCCCCAAAACCTGCCACCAACCACTCGCGGACAACAATTGAAATTGAGTGGAAAAAACAATTGCCGAGAGACCAAAGACTTGAGAGTTAAGAGTGACAGCGCGTGCAGTGACATTTTCCCGCTCGAAACTGCACTTTAAACATGTTTGACCTTTGGGTTTTTGAGGGGCTCCCTCGACTTGGTCTTTCCCAGAGACTAGCTGGGCTTATGCAATTGCCCCAAAGGAGCCAAGAGCGATGCGGAACCCATGGCGCCTATATCATATGACAAAAGCAGACATCATCATTGGTATATTATGCAAAATGCAAAAAAAATCGATGATCATATGCTGCCGGAGAGTAGAGATATATGCTTATGGATACAAATTACAGCTGGCAGCAACCCACTAACCGCAGAAGACTTCATCATCGCTTTTCCGGACTCGTGGCTCGTGATCTCAAACCAACAACTGACTAACTAACTAACTAACTGACTAAACTCACTAACTGACTAAGATGACTGGCTGACAGGCTGTCTCTGCCTTTCGGGGATGCAAACTAGGAAGTCTGTGTGCGAATATTACTGCGGTTTAGTCAGACCTAAGGTCGCTTAGAAATTTTGTAATCTATATGCCCCGATAGTGAGTCAATTGTGATGCGCTTCGCCACACTCCACTGCGTGTGGAAAAACTGGAAAATAACCAAATACAAAATACAAAATACAAAAAACCTTCAAAAGTCCCCTTCTCATCGATTTTAAATAAGGGCTTGGCCCTCCCAGCTCCATTTGTTGCGCTTGCATTGCCATAAATAGCATTTCGTAGAGTTTGAAACTTACAATGCAGGCAGAAATGTAATTGGTTTATGGGTTTCCGATATGATATTTGGGTGCGGAATAGTTGGATATTTTCTGTGATGTTTGACAGCCGCCAAGGCATGTCTCTGAGGGGTCTGCCAAATAGGATTACTTCTCTTGACGGCTTCGTTTGTCTTTATTTTTGTGGCTCTCTAATTTCCTTTAATTGGGTTATACGGGCGAATTGCAAAATACTTTAAAAAATAGGGCAGGGCATAATTAAGCTGGATTGGGTCTGTCAGCGAAAATGGAAAGAAGTTAATGATGGGAGAAGAAGAGGTATATATAGGGATAAAGCCATATAAAGAAGTTACAAATCAATGTCAACTTGGAGGAATTTCTAGAAACCTATTCATATTATTCCACCAAGAAACTCCTTTCTAAAATGTTTAGCAAATTAAACCATAGTTAGTTAATTCCTTATTCATTTTTTTAGGTATATTTTTGTACTGTAATTTAATTGATTTAATTATGCCTTTTGTAATTGTAATTGTTATTCTCGTAGAACTATTACCCTAACATGAAACAATTATAACTAGTTATACTTGTTACTATAATATATAAACCAAGGTTCCCTCTAGTTACCAATTAAAAATCAAATAATTAAGCTCCCTTTAATTGCGGTAGCATGATGTAATTTCCATAACCTCTACTTGGCTTAGTATCTTTGGGCTATATCTTTTTAATCTTCATAAATGTCTTCTCTTCTAAAGCCTCTTTACACTCGGCAAACAATAATAATATTTCGTCACAAATAAAAACCCTTTTAGTTGTCAGGGTCCCAAGAGGTCTCGTGCATAGACTTTTCATATCTTAAAAACAAAATAGATAACTGCAAAGAGAAGCCGTGGCCTAAATTTACTTAAGATATCGGGTGACACACTGTAGGCCACTATATAGTAATGTTATAGTTTGTGGCAGACTTGAAAATAAATGTAAATTGAGCGGAAAATAAGTCAGTAACATCTGGAATGGAATATGGAATATTTCATTAGTGAAGTCAGAGCTTTTCAATGAGCAAACCCTTAGCTATTTATTATTTATTATTTACTAGGACAAATATCCATTCAGATATACAATTATTTACAGTAAATGTTTTGCATGAAATCCAGCTCGAGTTCCCTTCTATTTTTTACCCATCTTCAAAAACTCTGTTATATTATATTGCATTCTTTTAAACAAAAACAAAAAAAAAGACCAGGAAAAAAGGCGAAATAAGTCATTGCTTTTTTAGAGCGTGAACAGCTGGCCCACCTGTTCCATTTAACTGGCCCGCCCGTACTTTTATGGGTTCACCTCGTCCCGGAGTACAATACCTTATGCTCCAGTAGCAACACTGGCAACAACTGTTGCTGCTGCTGCTAATGTTGCTGCTGCTGCTGCTGCTTCAAACTGCTGCAAACTTTTGTAGCTCCAAAAACAATAAGAGTCGCCTCTGGATGGCGGCGACTTGGTTGAGTGCCTCGACTCGCCGTTTGTTTTATGCTTCGTCTGGTTCTCTCTGGTTTTGGCTCAGGTTCCTCCGACTCTGGATCTGACTAGCTACGCATTTATAATAGGCCAAATATAGCACAGTTGGACCTATAACTATTTTTTTAGACCAGGTATTTAGTGTCGTAATGGTTTATCTATCATGTTTACTATTAAAAAGTATTTAAAAAATATTTTAAAAATATTAAAGCTGCTTTAAACTAGTATATACTTTAGTATAAATGTCATAAAACCACTGTGCCTGTCTTA